TTAAAAAAACCAAGACACTCCTGCTTGAGTATTCTTCATCAGGATCCTTAAAAAATTCAGTGGGGGGCTGGAAAGGTGGCTCAAGGGTAGAGTGTTTGCCTTGCATGCATGAGGCCCTGGGTTCAATTCCTCAGCACCACATAAGCAAAAAGAAAAAAGCTGGAAGTGGTGCTATGGCTCAAGTGGTAGAGCGCAAGCCTTGAGCTGAAGAGCTGAGGGACAGCACCCAGGCCCAGAGTTCAGGCCCCACGACCAGGACCCCCCCCAATAGAAAAAGAATAAAGAAAGCTTTTATCGATGAATATTTTTGACCCATATTAATATATTATCATTTACAATGTGAAGCAGACAAATTAACTTATTAACTTTCACAAAAATGTTCCCAATATAAGTATTTTCAGTACCTGATATGATACTTGCGTCCAGCTAAATGGCTGGCCCAGTAACCAGACTTCCAGAAGCGGTAGCCATCCATTTCTTTTCTGCTGTCACAAAAAGGAGTATAACCATAAGGGGCACCATCCAGACTGAAATCTCTTAACTCTTTCAGATCTGTTCGCACAATCTAAAGAAAAGAAAATCAAATGTCATTTGTTAAGCTGGCATGCAAGCGGTACTAATATAACTTCTTAAAGTTCACAGTGCATCACAGAAGGTGAAGGGAAGGCAGCTCAATATGTAATGGTACAAGACCTAGTCTGAATTCCATTGCTAACTGGTTGAACTCACTACATGAAGTATGGCACAAATTACTGTAGGTACAAACTTAACTCAAATAGGTTTGATGTTCTCAGTTTCCTCATCTGAAAGCTGCAGATGACATAATTTGGAGTACATATCTCAAGGGATTGTTGGGAGGCTAAGCAGGTTACCACAGACAAGTGTGGAACAATGCCTTACTCAATATTAAGTACTCAACTAGGATTACATGTGACTGTATGAGAAAGCATATTTCAGGTTGCTTCGCCAGAAGCAGGGAATACACAGAGGTGGGGACAGTCTGTTCAGATGACTTTGGCACACATTATATCCCTTCAAGCTGAGAGTAATGTAGACGGGTGAGACGGCTGTAGGAGGAAGTGCACTTATGCTGTTGGAGCTTAGTTAAGTTAAATCCTGATAGCTACAAGAACATCTGCATCATTCCCTTATTATAAAGGCCAATTATCCCCCTGAGCTTCATCTACCATTCATACCAATAGCACAAATTTTTAGGCAGATATAGTAGTGCTGACCTCCAGTATAGCACTGGAAAGAAAGGAAGCTCCAGAGCTAGGTAGGTAGGTAGATAGGTGGGTGGACAGAGTAGAAGGGTAGATAAGTGAGTGGAAGGGTGGACAGATAGATAGATAGGTAGGTAGGTAGATAAACAGATGATGGACAGACAGCAGATAGACTGACCAGCTATCTTTTTGGCAGACAATGGGAAATGAGGGGAAATAACTGCTAAACTTGAATTTTCCAACTTTTACTCTTAAATAAATGAGGTAAGACATAAAACTATCTATATACATGAGGTAAGACATAAAACTATATACATGACATTGTTGCAACTGTGTTAAAAAAAGAAAAATGAAAAGAAGATATACTGAATACAAATTAAATTTAAAAAGTAATCACATTTGGGCAATGTTCTCCCATATTTTCTAAATATTAGTAAAAAACAAGCAGGTACTTTTTCATAGTAAGAAAAACAGTGTTTAAAAAAGAAAAGGTGGGTTGGGAAGGTGGCTTAGTGGTAGAGTGCTTGTTTTGCATGTATGAGGCCCTGGGTTCAATTCCTCAGCACCACATAAGCAGAAAAAGCCAGAAGTGGTGCTGTGGCTCAAGTGGTAGAACGTTAGCCTTGAGCTGAAGAGCTGAGGGACAGTGCCCAGGACCAGAGTTAAACCCATGAAAAAAAAAAAAAAAGAAGAAAAGAAAAGAAAAGGCTCTGTCATACCTACTACAAACAAATCTGGCCTTTGATAGCTCACCTGGTCAGCATCCACAAACAGAAACTTGTCCACAATGAGTGGGAAGAGCACGTCTAAGAAGAGAATCTTGTAGCCCCAGATGATGCGCTGCTTTTCTGTCTGCTGATGGAGCCACCGGGGCCATTTGTACTGAACAAGCTCATACTGGAAGTTGTATTCACTTGCCATGTAGGGTATAAACTCCTGTTTTCAGACATTAGAAATACTAAGAAATCATTCGTTTTGATTAAGAATTGACTTTTTTACTTTTGGTGGTGTTTTGAGACATGTCTCATGGTGTAGACCTGCTGGCCTTGAACTCTCAAACCTTCTGCCTCAGCCTTTTCAATGCTGGGATTATAGGATACACCATCACCCTGTCAGGCTCTCCCTTCCTCTTCTCTTCCTTTTTTTGTGCCAGTACTAGAGCTTGAACTCAGTACCTCATACTCTTCATTTTGACCACGGCTGGTGCTCTAACCACTTATGAATCCAGTTCTAACTTTTTGACAATCAATTGGAGGTAAAAGTCTTGAGGATTTGTTTGTGCAAGCTGGCTTTGAACTACGGTCCCCAGATTTCAGCCTCCTGAGTAGTTAGCATTATAGGCATGGGACACAGGCACCTGGCAATATCTACCCTCTTAGTGGAAGTTGGGACCACCATTATTATAGTACAAGTAAAATGTTTCCCAAAACAGTGGTAATAAAGAACTTAATCTCAATTCACTTGTGACTACATAAAATAATCCCTATTTCTTTAAAACTTTTAGTTACTACCAGAAATAACAAAAATCTATAGGCAAAGGCTTTTACATTTTTAACTCTGTATGTGTATGCATGTATGTACACATGCACACAAATATGCACATGCTCACTTAAGCACAAAACTTTAAAGTCCATTTGTCTAGACCTGATTTTAGTATAATATTCTGTCAGCTTGATTATACAGCTTTTCTCTAAGCTAGGTTCTAACTCAAGAATAGCACAACAATGGGGCTGGGAAGGTGGCTCAGTGGTAGAGTGCTTGCCTTGCATGCATGAGGCCCTGGGTTCGATTCCTCAACACCACATAAGCAAAAAAAAAAAAAAAAGCCAGAAGTGGCACTGTGGCTCAAGTGGTGGAGTGCTAGCCTTGACCTAAAGAACTGAGGGACAGTGCCCAGGCCCAGAGTTCAGGCCCCACGACGGAACCCCCCCCCAAAAAAAGAATAACACAACAAAATAAAACTTAACAAATTTGTTGCAATTTATAAGTCTTTCATATTTTAACTACAAGTACCTTCAGGGGACCAGAAGTGAATTACTTATCAGGGAGACATTATTAAATATTTAAAAAATTGTTCAGTACATTCTACAGAAAAAAAAATTTCTTAAAAAAATCTATTTAGGTAAGAATTCTTGATAGAAATAAAGCAGATTATCCAAGTATGATTTTTGTTTGGCATGAAGTTATTCTCTCCATATAATGTGTGGTAGTGGTCTATGAGAAAATCATTCTGTCCAAAGCAAACTATTAGTGTACTTGCTAAATTAAAAAAGACATCTATGATTCAGAAAAAAATGTAGTTCATGAGAAATTGCCTGGTACTGGTAGTTCATATCTGTTGTCTTGCTGCTCAGGAGGCTGAGATATGAGCATCACAGTTCAAAGCCAGCCAGAGAAAGAAAGTCTGTGAGACTCTTATCTTCAATTAATCAACAATGTTTCCCGTTTCCCTCTGAAACAAACCTTAAATGTGGGGGACAAGTAATTCTTCAGGAACCAGAATTTCACAGGAGTTTTGGTATTCTTCAGTACTGATAGCATCATTATGCTGTCAAACAAAAACAATTTTCAATGCTTCTAAACCTCAAAAGAGCATTAAGCATACACATTAAGCAGAGCATAGTAGAGCTAACTATTGGCTCAATTAAGCAAAGTAAAAACCATAATAATGAAAAGAAACGTAGTCATTCCTACTTCTCAAGTAGAATGGGAAAAATAAAGAATACCTCTATAAACAGATACCTAACCGACAGAGGTTAATGTCAATTCTGTTAAATAAGCTACTTCATAAACTGCCACATCAATTATGGTACAAGTTTAGATCAGAAGTCTTGGCAACTGGCTACATTATTCTTCAAACCTCCTGGTAAGCCACAACAACATATTGCTGAGGAAAGCTTGTAAGTGTCTCCTGACAGCCTCCTCAGCTTCCCTTTGAGGGAGAAAATCAAGTAAGGAGCAGGGAGGGCACAGCTCTGGTTTTTTTTTTTTTTGGCTTGTCCTGGGGCTTGATCTCAGCACCTGGGTGCTGTCCCTGCACTTCTTTTGCTCAAAGCTAGCATTCTACCACTTGAGCACCGCTTTTTCTGAATAGTTTATTGGAGAAAAGAGTCTCACAACTTTCCTGCCTGCCTGGGCCATCTTCAAACCATGATCCTTAGATCTCAGCCTCCTGAGTAGCTAGGGTTACAGGCATGAGCCACGGGCACCCACCTAAGCTCAGGAATCTTGAGTCAACATTCAATTAGAACCTTCATCATTATTTTAGGTTGGCTGTTTCTTGAAAATAGAAAAACTAAAATGAGGAAAACAGCATTTGGATTCTTTTCTATACCAGATTACAGTGGAAGATGAAAAGGAAAAGCAATTGACAATCAGGAAACTGACTTTCAAGTAACACTGTGTCCTTTGAGCTAGTCCATTTGATATGGTGATTAGGTTCCTAAGGGATTTTCCTAAGCCAGTGGCTGGGTGGCTTGGGCTAGTCCCAAGAACCACATTTCTCCGGGCTCTAAAATCTGTAAAAGGTGGTAAGTGTTGCAAGGCCTATACTATCTGATTTAAGTAATATTTGATGGCCAAATACAAGATACAAGTGTGATATTAAAGGCCTAGTCTTGTAAGGGCTACTCTCTAATACTAGATCAACTTCACAGACTTGCTGAGATCAATACAAATGATATATGGCAAGTAATTCATAACTCTCAGAGTGCTCCAAATACACCTAAGTATATAAACCTTTTCTCAAAATAAGAACACTACAGCAAATTAATTTACATAAACCAAAATAATCAACAAGACTAACCGAAGAAATCTTTCGTAGAGATGACCAGATGCAACAGAGAAAATATTAATTATATCATCTTTGTCTTGTTTTGCCTCCTCAGTCTTCTGTCCTCCTGAAAATCCCCTATAACAACAGAGATAAAAACAGGACATCTTACAGTGCTGGCCAGACACACAACCCTTAAGGAAAGAGGTAGTGAGTACTTTCCCGTTCCCACCTTAAAGTAAGAGCAGGCATGAAAAAACCAACACTCTGACAGGGGCCCAGAGATGACAAGGTCACCTCCTTTAAAACTCCACATTGCCTTAGGAACAGGTGGATCACAGTCAGATGCATAGAATGCAATTTGTACAGTGGGAAGTAAACTAAGCAACTATCATCACCTCTCTAAAAGGCAGGTGCAGCCCAATGACAGTGAAGAAATGTTCAGTGGAAGTATGTTCAACAGAGGGAGGCATTAAAGTTAAAAGAGATTCGTACTACTCCAAAAAGTAAGTGTAACACTTGTCTGCAGGAAGCAGGATAGGAAAGCCCTACAAAGGGCACCCATTTTTTTTTTTTTGCGGGGGGGAGGAGTTGAACTCAGGGCCTAGGCGCTGTCCCTGAGTTTTTTACTTAAAGTTAGTGCTCTACTACTTTGAGCCACAGTACCATTTCTGGATTTCTGGTGGTTAATTGGTATCTCATGGACTTTCCCACCTGGGCTGGCTTTGAACCGTGGTCCTTAGATCTCAGACTCCTGAGCAGCTAGGATTATAGGCGTGAGCCACTGCTCCTGGCAAAAATGTCTTTTTCATAATGGGGATTTACCATTTGAAAGAGTCCCAAAATCCAGATTCATTCTCATTTGTCCCATCACTCAGCAAGTCTTCATTTGCCATGTCTGCCTTCTTCTGTACCTGGAATGATATGCAATAGATTTTACTACTCTTTGTGGTCTAACTGTAGTAAACCTGATTTGTGCTGGGTGTGCACTTACTGTAAGCACTGTCCAAAACAGGACATAATCCAACAGTTCTCCCACAAGGAGGTGTAGCCCCATCCAGAGCCTATCAGTACTCAACTAATAAAATGTCTTCATCAAGATACACACATTACAGCCTTAAATGAGAAGCTAGCAACCTCTTGTAATTAAATACTATTTTCAGTTTGTATAAGGAACAAAAGACCATGAAATGTGGCTTGGGAACTAGTCTGAGTAAACCCACAGCACATTTTGCCCAGCTAGCAGTAAGTTCAAGGAAGGAGTACAACCTAGTGGATCTGTCAGGACACAGATATTGCATGCCATGGGCATGTCTCAGGATTTAGTAACACAAAGTGCCAGATGAGTCTTCAGGTCAACCATGTATGACTAACCTTAGGTTTTACTGTGCATAATCTTTAGTTATTCCAAATATGTTTACTTTAAGACACTAATAAGTCCAAAATAATGAGAAAGAAAAAAAAGTTATTGCTCATTATTGCTTAACTATTCACTGGCATTTCCCTCAATATTCTCAGGGTAAAATGATCAATAATAATACTATAATCTGGGACTATACAAATGGTAAGCCTCTCTCAGAACATACTATATAAAGCAAGACTGGCATTACACACTGAGAGTCAGCCACAGACTCACATTTACCAAAAATAATAAATAAAATAATCCATAATTGCTACAATAAATTCCAAAAATACTTTTGAGCTAGTTTCAAGATACAGTAGTTACCTGTTCACCTGTGGGAGAACATTTCAGACCCTCAGCAGTGGCCTGAAACCTACTATGGAATCCTGAAATATACTATGGTTTTGCTTATACATACATACTTATGATAAAATTTAGTTTATAAATTAGGCACATGAAGAGACTCATAACAGTTAACTATACTAAAATAGGACAATTAAAACAACATATTGTGACAAAAATAGTATGAATGAGATGTCTCTCTTGAAAGAGTCAAGATAAACAGTAGTATTTCTAGACTGGCTGATCATGGGTACATTGGACCCTTGGATATGTAAGACTGCTGTCAATATTTTTATATGACAGCTAACAAATACCATTATGTACCAAATTTTTACCAACTATTAATGAATGTCTGTCTTAGCACAACAAACTTACCTTCACTTTGATAATTTTGCTTTTAAAGTTATTGAGTATGACAACAACCTCATCGGCATCAGGTGGAGAGTCTGTACCATCATGGCTTGGAGAGAAAACCAAGATAGATATTACAAATCACAATTATTTTTTTCCTTTATTTTATTTTTATTTTTGTCAGTCATAGGGCCTGAACTCTGGGCCTGGGCACTGTCCCTCAGCTCTTCAGCTCAAAGCTAGCGCTCTACCATTTGTGCCACAGTGCCACTTCCAGGTTTTTCTGCTTATGTGGTGCCTCATGCATGCAAGGCAAGCATTCTACCACCTTCAGCACTAAATCACAATTCTTAAAGGGCACTAAATGGTCAATTACAATCTGATATACTAGTGATAAAGGAAAGAGCTTTGCAAAACCATTTTCTTACAACTTCAAACAAACCAATAAAAACACTTGTAGAAACATTTCTATACACAATACTTCTTTCACAAATCCTCTCTTCAGATTACATACCAGAGTGAAAGGCCCCAGGCAAGGCAAGTATGTGAGGGGAACTGAACAAATATGTTTGTAGACCTAAGCCATGTACAGTGCCTTGTAAAAAGGAGTGGGAAATGATATGCACCACTCTAAGCCAAAGAACTGGCTTCACTTAATTGGAATAGTTCTGTAAAGAAATTTATTCTTGGGCTGGGAAGGTGGCTCAGTGGTAGAGCGCTTGCCTTGCATGCCTGAGGCCCTGGGTTCGATTCCTCAGCACCACATAAGCAAAAAGAAAAAAAG